TTTTCATTTTTAAAAAAAAATCTTACAGATCTGGGGAGCAGACCCTGGCCCTCATGTTTGTACAAACACTGTACCTCTGAGATGCACCATTGTCATTTATAGTTTTTGAGGTTTCTACTGTCTTAAATATTTTCAAAATGGTGAAGTAGTATATATAAAAATTGTGTTTTAAATGCTTATAAATATAAAATAATACTTTGAACTCATTATAAAGTATAGCAATGCTTTTCACACGCAAGGTAATTACATAATTTATATAAAATTTAAGCTGGGCATTGTATTCTTTCGTGGTTTCACAGCTTTATAGCTTTAACTAAAATAAATTTTCTTTCAAATGTGGACTTCTATTGGGCATGTTGATGTATGCCTGTAATCCCAGCACTCGGGAGGCTGAGGCAGGAGCATCTGGTGAGTTCGAGGCCATCATGGGCTACATAGTGAGTTCAAAGCCATCCTCAACTATATAGTTAGACTGTGTCTCAGAAAACCAAAAAAGTGGACTTCCTTTATAAAAGTAGCAAATGTAATGCAAAAATTATTAGGTAACAAAGAATGTTGCATTCCTTTCAAATAGCTGTACAAGAAGCATATAAATTCTATATTATTTGAAAGCCTTGGCTAATGTCTCGATAGCCTGTTATACCTAGCATATGAACAAGCGCGCATAATTCTTTCAAAATATGTTTGTTATTTGGTAGATTGACACGAGTCTGTATTAGAAATCATATGGGATTTTCTCTCACGACTGTCACTAACCTTCATTACTGTGCCTTAACTGCTATCCCAGTCTGTATGTTGAGATGCTGAAAGGCAGGACTTTTCATTATTTGTATTACTTTTGTCTAAACCCATAACTCCTCAGCACTGATCTTCCATTCTAAACAAAATAATCCTTACCATGAACATATTATATTAATTCCAAATCTTTTCTTGAGTTCTTTCTCTTTCCTGGAATGCCCAGACCTCTCCTCTCATTCAAATTCTATACATCTCACCCTCCTCTACCACCAGGATTTGCAGCTGTTCCAGGATACAGTAGTCTGTCTTTTCTTTGAAGTCCTGAAACACTCATTTTCTGTGTCATTCACTTGGTACTGAATCATAGGCAGGCAATTCACAACTGGTAAATGTGTTTTTATGTTTCAGTACTTCATTTGTATGAAAGCAGTTGGATTTCTAAAGAATTCTCTCCACAGAAATAATATTATAAAGGATGAATAGGTTTCTAGGGCAATGTACAAGTCTATTTGACACATATAATAGCAAATGTATAATGCTAATATTCAGGTCACATTGATCATTTACATTAATACTTTATGCAATGATGTATTTCAGGATCAAATAATTCTACGAAGGCATTTCCCACTGACACAATTCTAAGAACACCTCCCTCTGTTTATCTTCTTTCTCAATTTTGTGTCATTTCCTTGCTGACTGACCTGGGGCAAGAGCATCTTTGGTAACTGGTGGCTCAGCAAGAATGCTGTGAACTGTAAAGGAAGAATTTACTGCTTTTAAGTGTGTGGTATGAGATGGGTTCATGAACAATAATATAGGAATCCAAGCAGCCAAATTGATAAATTTGGAATTTAATTAACTGAGCTCAGGACGACTCGTATACCGACACCCCCCCCCCTGCCCGCCCCGTTTCAGAGTCCAAACAAGTGGCACAGAACTGGAAAGTTACAGAGTTTTAAAAAGAGATAATCACAAAAAATATCCTGTTGGAAACAATTTAGCTAGAATCTTGCGTTAATTTTTGGTTGACACCTGTGTCCTGCTTCTTTTGTTGAGCACGTTAATTTTTCTCCTGTGTGTACAGCTCTTTCTGCTTTTCTCATGAGACTTACACTCTGAGTAATTTTCCATTTTCCTGGTCAAATACAGGGCACTAGTTAAATGCAGGGCTCAAGACAGCATCAGTTGTGCCAAGCTACAACATGATGGAAGAGGGAAGCTACCATCCCTGTTCCCCTTATGTCTGAGATGCAAAGGACAAGACAGCTTTTACTTTTCCCCTGATACCACCGTGGTGTAAACTTTATCTCTTTAATCTAAGATTGCTACCATCCATCTGCTTCACCCCCAAATTAGTAGTTTCTGTTTCCATAGTGTCATTCTATTCTATAATCTGCCAGTCACAAATTGACAGTTCCCTAAAGCATCCTTTTCATAATTTCACTTTTGTAAGCTTTGAAGGGTCTCTATTGCCCACAGCAGTTGTCTGGAGTACAAGCTGAGCAACAAAATTACTTGGAGGATTTTTTAAAAATACAGATACTTCAGTCCCACTCTAGTCTGACTGAGTGATTATCTTGGACAAAGGTCCTGTGTTTCAAAGAATTCTCCCAAGTGATTCTGATACACATCCAGGTAGAGAACCACAGACTTCTAGCAGCATAAAAAATTAATGATGGTAAAACAACAAAGTATGAACTTGTCCCCCGAGATCTTTAGGTCAAAGATTTGACCTCAGTCACAACATCAGAGGGGAATGTTATAACCTAAGGCCCCCTAACTATCGCGATCGCACCGTAAGGTCTGTTCTGTATAAGCCCACCTGCTGCTTCCCCTCCCCTTCTCCCTTCAAATCTAACTAGGTTAAGTTTTAACTTCCTAAAGGCCATAAAACAAAGGCCTGAGGTAATAGCTCCTGACACCCCAGGTCTTCCCTACCTGGTAGCCCGTCACAAATTGTGTTAGTTGCATTAGATTGTATTAGATTGTACATTCTTCACAAAAATAGCTTCGTTTGTATCATAGCAATACCTGTAACTTGGCCTTACTGTAAATGTGTGTTTTCCTTTCCCTCTGGGCAAAGGATTGATATGTTAATCAATGCTCTCCTCTGTAAAGAATTGTAAAATCTTACCTAATTGATATGTTAACCATTGTTGCCCTCTACAAATAACAATTGTGTTGCTAAAGTAAGGTAACTAAGGTTGTTAATTGCTGTTAGACTTCTCTATTCTTCACTAAGAAAAACAAGATTTCTTCTTATCTAAACTTGCTAGTATGCAGGGAGACTTGCAATTGCCGTTTCTGCTTTGTAGTGTGTCACACGCCCATCCCCCTCCTTACATTGTGTGACCAGCAGCTGATTGTGGATTTACATGATAAAAAGTCAGGGCTGGAGGTTTAGCTCAGCGGCATGTGTGCCTGACTTGCAAGCAGGCAGTCCTGAGTTCGATCCAAAAAAAAAGATAAAGTCCTGACTTTAAGCTGTGAGGTGCACAGTCTCCAAATTGGCTCCCGGAGACTCGTCACCAGGCCTGGATTTTACCTAATAAAGCCTTTGCTTCCCCCCCCCCCAAAAATCATACTCTGACTTCCAAAGCCCCCAGTGTTTAAGAGATTTATGTTCATATCTAGTTCTGCCACTAGGTAACCATAGCTGAAACACTTCCCTCACATTTAGTCTCATTTTTCCATCTGTAAAATGAAAGATTGACTTTTTACTACAAAATATTTCCATTCCAAAATCAGGGTGATTCTTGGTCTCTTTCTACCTGTATATTTTTGTTAAATATATATATATATATTTGAGACAGGGTTTCACTATGCAGTTTAGGCTGGCCTGGAGCTCACTGTATAACCTGAGTTGGGTTTGAACTTGCAATGATCCTTCTGCCTCAGCCTGCCAAGTGCTGGGATTACAGGTGTGAGCCACCATGCCCAGCTTGTTAATGCTATGTTTTAATCTTATTTTAAGAAAGCTAATTTAGGAGACAGTTTAAATGAAACAAATATATTGATGAATATTTTTGAATGTAAATTATATCCATGATATCCTATGTTTCTTTTTTAAGTGAGCCAAATTTTTTATTTGTTCATTTCCTCCATTTGAAGTACTGTTCCACGACATCTTTGGTCCAAGATTCTTTGCCATAGTCCTTAATCACTACACAATTGCAAGCAACCTTTACACAATTTTCCTTCTCAGTCAGTTTTACAGAGGCCTATGAATTTCCCTAATTTCTTGTTGTCATCAACTTTAATTAGGTTGATTTGGTGTTAAGTACAAAAGGTTTCCAGTACCTTCACATATATATGGCTCATCACAGTTGGATGCAAACTCACAAAAGTGGGTTTAGTGCTTGCCTAAAACTTTGGCAACTTCACGTATTCCATGTGTTAGATCCTCATGAATGAGAGCGATCTTCACCATCTCTCGTAAAGCAGTACTGCAGTCCATTGTCTCCTCCCACAATGGTTAGAATGAAATTCGAATCTTGAACACATGCAAGCTTCTGCCTCCACATGACTAGGTGGCAGCAGGGAAAACTTTTTCTTTCAAATAGAATTTCATTTTCCTGTGTTAGAGCCTATCAGGACAAATGATTGTTTCCTATTATGTGGCTCATTTTTCTGCTCTCTGCTCTCTTTATCTTCTGTTGCACAAGTAACCTCTTTGAAGTGAAATTAAATTGTGAGATAAATATAACAAAAATGGAAAACGTATCATACCAAAGATTGGTATAAAGAATTTTGCATAGCAGTTGTGAATGTGGTCGTTAGAAACTAAGCCCATGTTATAGGATGTTGATACTTAAAAGAGAAGCCAGTACTATCACTTATAAATTAGGTGAAAGCAGTGACCATTGTGAAGAAAACCTAAATTTCTACACTGTGGGGTTAGCCATAGGTTAAGGCTAACTGAGAAAACAATGTACTGTCAACTCAGATTCCTTTTAATGTATGTTTACATAGCTACTAGAGTCTATTTCTGCCTTTTTATTAACAGATCAATTTTCTAGTCAAAATATCTTGATTCTGTTGGCCAGGTAGCAGATAATGAAGAGCATAAGTGGTTGCTGAATGTAAACTGCAATCTCTTCAAAGCCTACTGGGGAAAGATTCTACCAGATATTTCTATAAAAAGCCCATCCCGCATGAAATCTATAACCCTTCGCTTTCTGAAATATTACTGCTATTTGCTACTCTTCCTTTGATATCTATTCATTCACAGCTGTAGAGTCATATATTGTTTGGATTAGGACATGTTGATGGAAAAATGCTTCCATACAGTGATACATTCAGAAGAGAATTCCAAAAATCCTATGGGATTAATGTGGCGTTGCCAGAATGACACTAAAAATGTTTACAGTATTATATGTAAGCTAAAAATAAACTGAGAATGATTTGATTGTAGCCCATTTTATATGTTTTATTCCTAAATTGAAAAGGACAATGTGAGTTTCAGGGTGGTCTGATTGAAATTTCTTATTACTTAAATCCCTTTAGGCAAATGATGCTAATGGCAGGATATAAAACCATGTTATAGCTTTCCTATGTAGGACTGGATGGTTCAAAGAAGCCCGACAATAGTTTTATACTGAATCTTAGGCTAAAGAAATCTAGGGGACAGGGCAAAGTGACTGCCTTTGTACTGGATTAGAGGTTGGTGATATACTACTTAAATGCTACTCCTTTCTTAGTACCTCAAAACTTGGCATTATGCAGTTAACTTCAAATAGAATTGAAAGGAAAAGGAATACCAAACTCAGTGAATGGCCACTGTCTTGGGAACTACTGTCTTAATTCTTGGGATAATTCTTCTTGTGAAGGAGAAGTAGAATGGCAAGAATCTTGAATTTAGGCCAAGTGTGGTGGTGCACTCTTGTAATTTTAGTACTCAAGAAGCTGAGGCAGGAGAATTGCTGTGAATTTGAGGCCATCTTGGGCTACAATTAAGTTCAAGGCCAGTCTGAACTGCAGAGTGAAACACTGTCTCAGAAAGACAAAAAAATCATGAGCTTAGAATTTGTCTCAACTTGTTAATGTATTAATTTTTTGACCTCAAGTGTCATATAACCTTCATGAGTTTGTTTCCATCTTCATAATCCGAGGATAATCTCTGTGGCCCTTTAAGTATGGGGCACATCTTAGCCAACTGTCCCTCAGATCCAAAGTGCACAATAAATGCTGTGTAAGGATAAGAAACTACTCAAAGAGGAAAAGTAAATGGAATAGGGCAAAGGAGGAAAAAAGGAAATGGAAAAAGACATAAATTAGGGTATATATATATATGTAAGATGGCTAAGATGACTGTACTACTCATTCTATTAGTTCTTGGAAAAGAACAGTTAATACTCTTATGATTAGATCAGTTTTACATGTCTATATTTGGTAATTAAGCAACTTTTTTGAAGGTAATTATGTGTACTATTACAACCTTTGTCAAATTCCTATCATCTTGTTTTGAAAACCTATACTTTTGTGGTTTTGCAATTTGTTGTTGTTCGTTTGACTGTTTTGCTTTTCCTTTTTCTTTTTTGTCTTTTTTTTCTCTTAAATAAATTTTAAAAAGGATGTGGCACAGAACTTGGTATATAATAGACTCTCAGTGAATGTTTTTTTGCTTTTATTATTTATTATACCATATGTTGAGTGTCTGATACATGTCAGGGCAAATTGCCCAGACTGAGCTCTAACTCATGGTCTTCCTGCCTCAGCCCCTGAGTATTTGGGATTACATGTGTGTACCACCATACCCAGCTACATAAATGTTTTTCAATTATAGTTTTAGGTCTATATGATCCCCAAGAAATTTACTATTTTATTTAATTTCCTATATAAGATTAAGACAAAACTAGGCACTAGAATTATCTTTGATGACTCTGAGGAGTGGAAGAATTAAGAGTCACTGCAAATTCTAAATGACTGATATAAGACAGGCTGGTCCCCACTGGCCATGATGTTGCATGGCTGTAATTTCTACATTTGAGAGACTGAAGCAGTAGCATTGCCCCAAGTTAAAGGCCAGCCTGTGCTGCACTGCAAGATCCTGTTTCAAAAACGAAAAACAAACAAACAAAAGGACCAAAAAAAAAAAGTGAACTTGCTATTCACTTCCTCTTCTCTGAAGGTCTTCAGTCCTATTTAGGGTGTCAACATCTTTGGGTCCCTGTAAGCTGGGTAATGATAATAGGGAGATAGATTTTAAAATATTCTTGTCGTATCCTATAAAATATTCCTTTTTGCATGCCCTTATACTGCAATAGAAAAAAAATAGGGATCTAGAGATACACTTTAGTGGTAGAGCACATGTCTAGCCATGTCTAGCACCCTGGGTTTGATACCCCATACAAAAAGAAAAACAAAAAATCCCTGTAGAGTTTTTGTTGTTGTTTGCAGTGCTAGGAGTGGAAGTCTGGCCTTTTAGATGTTAAGAAGTGCTCTACCACTGAGCTACATCCCCAGTCTATTTTATTATTCTTAAAATTTTGAGACACTAATTTGTCCAGGTGTTGCTTAAACTTGTAATCTTCCTGCCTCTGCTGCCCTCAATGCTGGGATTACAGGTGTGCACGGCTACACTCAGAAAAAAAGACATTTTAGAGCAGATTATCTCTCTCCCAGCACTTGGGAGGCTGAGGCAGGAGGATTGTTGTGAACTCAAGACCAGTCCAGGCTACAAAGTGGGCTGAAGGCCAGCCTGAACTGCATAGTGAGACCTTTTCTCAAAAAGATAAAAGAAAAATAAAGACAGGCTGAGGATTTAACTTAGTGGTTCAAGCACTTGCTTGGTAAGTGCAAGGTTGCAAGTTCAAATCCCTGTATCCCAGCAAGAAAAGATTTAAAAAATTGGGGTTGGGGGATTATTTTGGTTCATGGTTTCAGATGTTTTAGTTCGTGGTTGCCAAGCCCTATTGTTTTTAGGCCTGTGGCAAGTCATGAATATTGTGGTAGAAGAGTGTGGTGGGATAAAGCTGATCTCATAGCAGCCAGGAGAGAGAAAAAGAACAAAGGACTAGAGAGATGTAGTCACCACTAGCCTGCCTCTGGTACCCTACTTCCTCTAACTGGGCTCTACCTCCTAGGAACTCACTCAGCTATGAATTCATCAAGTTCATTGATAGGACTGGTACCCTCATGATCTAATCACTTATGTATACCCCACCTTTGAACATTACTGCATTGTGGGTCAAGACTTCTATGTGTTTGAAATTGAAATAACATGTAGTAATGGTGGCACATGCTTGCAACCCCAGCACTCTGGGAGGCTAAGGCAAAAGGACCACAAATTTGAGCCCAGCCTGAGCTATGTAGCAAGACGGTCTTAAAAATAAATCAAAAAGAAGACTGGGGATGTAGCTCAGTGTGAAGATCCTGATCTGGATTGCTGGAGACGGCGGGAGGCAGGGGGAATGGGGAGCAAGGAAAGAAAGAAAGAAAAAAAGGAAAGAAAAAGCATTTAGTAAAATCATCAAAATAAATGAATTATTATGATTTTGTGGTTTTTCTAAGGGGATATTGCTTTTATTTTTTGGTAGATAAGGTTACCATAAAACTGTTTCAAGGAATTTTCCTTGCTGCTTGAGGAAAATAATCTAAAAACTTCTGTGTTATTTGATATCTGTTGTGGTTTTCCAAATCCATTATTACTATAGTATTACCATTTTTTTCAGGGCTACGAATTCTTTGAAATGTTCTTAAACATGATAACATAAAATGTTTATCAAAGCAGTTATTTGTCTTGTCTCATTTTCTTCACTTTTTTATATTTTTGTTTGTTTGTTTGTTTGTTTTTTGGTCTTTTTCGTTTTTATCAGTACCAGGTATCGAACTCACGACTGCCTGCTTGCAAGGCAGGCGCTTATGCCGCTGAGCTAAATCCCCCAGCCCTACTTTTTTATATTTTTGAATACAGATGACATTATAATCCTTAAAAACATAGGAGATTGCTGCACTGAAGAAGAAATTGACAAGACTGAGGATGATATAAAAGAACAATTGGATGTTCATGAGCATCACTGGCAGAAAGGTAAAGTACACTAAAATCCTACAATTATCTGTTAAACAACAAAGGTAACAAAATCAAAAACTTGCAGTGTTGTTCTAAAGTTGCATCATATTACTTGTTTTATTTTTCCTGGACATTGACTCATAAAGGATTGGTAAAAATTTATAACAAAAAATATTGAACTTATATGAGTAGTTTCCCTAAGGGAGGGCAGGATAAAAAATACTCTTATAGATTAAGAAATGTCACTACCCGACTGGTTAGTCAAATTCCAGCATTAGAAGGTAAAATGGGAGGGTTAAGAACATGGTCTATAATTTGGGAACCATGATATCCACACTTTGTAACAGGAATGTTGTTGGAAAAAGAGAATAGGATAACATTTGAAAAATGTCCTCTGGCCAGATATGGTGGCTCATGCCTTGTAATTCTAGTACTCAGGAAGTTGAGATAAGAGGATCATGAGTTCGAGGACAGCTTGGACTATATAGCAAGTCCACGGTCAGATTGGATTACATACAAAGACCCTGTCTCAAGCAAAACAAAACAAAACAAAACTCTGTAGCCCTAAACACCTTGGTCAGTACAGTGAACATATTTTAATATAAATGTAGCACAGATTGCCATAGTAGAAGTTGTTTCTAAAACTTTATACCCAAAACAAACATAATTGGAACAAATATCCATATGACTAATGCAAAGCTGACAATTTTCTGCCATCTTTCCTTTTTCTATTGGAGTATTTGTTCAATTAATTTAGGATAACATGCTCAAACTTTGGTGACGTATGAAGTCAAATTTGAGGTATTATATATGAGTTTTCTAAAAAAATTTATCCTATGGTTTAATTTGCTTATTACATAAAAGCAAAATACTCGACACCCAAAGTTAAAGGAGGAAAGGTTTATTTTGGCTCACAGTTTGTAGAGGTTTCAGTCCATAGGTTGCTGGCCCTACAACAAGTGGCTCAAGACAGAGGGGGATAGCAAAGGACAAATAGTCCGTGATAGGGCGGGCAGGAAGCAGTGACCCTGCCTTGTTTTGCCTTCTTTCTGTTGCTTTGTATTCTGTCCAGTCTACAAACCTATTGATTGATGCCACCCATGCACAGGGGTAAATCCATTCAAACATACCCAGAACTATGTTAATTAATCAGTGGACTAATCCAGATATCACACACCCTTAAATGATACTCACACACCTTCAATCCAGTCACCTATGTAAAGCTTCACCTATGAGCGCATGAGGCTTTGGGGCAACATCTAAATACAAGCTATAACATCCTATTAAGGTAATTAAATAGAAAGAGTATAGCAAATACTGTTGTAGAATTCAGTGAGAGTACCAGGTATCAGATTAACTATCAAGATGTCTTGCAAAGAGTGTATAGCTTTACAAATTAACTCTTAGACAGTATTTTGGAAAGACATGTTGAATTTACTGATTGAACATACAAAAAAATCATTATTTTTCAAAGAACAAGCAAAAGACATTGAAGAAAGAAATGATAAAAATCCACATCAAGAAAATTCTGCATGCAAATCTGGACAAAGCCCAAATGATGATAAAAATCCACATCAAGAAAATTCTGCATGCAAATCTGGACAAAGCCCTTTAAAAAATGAGCAACCTTTAGGAAAGCAGGTAAATAAATACTAATAGTTAACTGATACAGAATGTCCCAAATTTAATATATATATATATATATATATATTTCTTAATACTAAGAATTATTTTCAGGCTAGGTATATAAGTCAGTGACATAAGCATCTGACCGGCAAGCACAAAGTGCTGAGTTCAAAACCAAGTACCAAAAAAAAAAAAAAAGAATTATTTTAAGCAGGGGGTAGTTGTGCATGTGAGAGGCTGAAAGAGGATGATCTTCACTAGTTCAACCTGGGTATATAGTGAGTTCTGGGCCAGTCTGAATTATGTAGCAAGACTCTATCTCAAAGAATACAAAAAAGAATTATTTTTAATTATTTTAATTGCAGAGATTTTCCCATGTGCCTTGAACATAATTTAAATTCAATATTTGTTAGTTAAATTTTTGCCCCTCTGTTTTAATAAACATGAATTTTTGTTGTTTTCAATCTTCACTATCAAGTTTGAATTTATAAATTGCTAAAATAGATAATTGGTTATTGTCATTTATTGCATATAATCTTTTGAATTTTTGTACCCATACAGTCTTTAATTTTTTTATAGTATAAAAATAGTTTTAATAGCTTTGTATATCAATTGTAAAAAAACAGAAGCCAGGTGAAGTGGATTATGAAATAGACTCTTAAATCAACAGGAGGGATGTAGTGTAGTACAATTCATCACCTCTGGTCACTGGACAAAAAGGTGTTAATGTTTCAGCTTGGCATAGAAATGGATTCTTCTGATGTTATATGATCATAATTTAAGAAAACGATGACTGTGGAAGCTTAAACCATTTTTGTCAAATGATATAAATGTAATTTATCCATTGATTTATTTTAGAAAGGGATATGTTGCATTTTCAAGTATTTGAATAATTAATTTAAGTTGACTAAATAAATACTAATTCTGTGACTACTCTATGCAGACATTATAGTATCAGAACAGCTGGCTTCAAATATTATACATGGAGGTGAAATGGAAAGAGAAGAAAGATGCAGTCAGGCAATAAATGTTCTAATAGGGTTAATGTTTTACATTGCAAGGATAAAGTAATTCATTCTGATTAAGAAGACTTATGAAAGTTTTATGAAAGAGATGTCATTTGATTCAGGCCTTATGGGATGAGGGTTTTTTAAAAAATAAAGTTTGCAAAGAACACAAATTTCCTTTTTCTGAAGTCCAAAATGCATAAACAGAATAATATAAAACAATATTTTCAAATTGAAAGCATCTTTATATCATTCATACTTTTGAAACTTAAGACTGTAAGTATAGCAGGATGCACCAGACAAATACAGTAAAGAAAATTTAAGCATAGCTCTCTTACCAATAAATTGAATAGTCAGTTTTCAACGATGCTTTGCAATTCTAATAAGCTGATTTTGGACTTTGCAAGATTTAATCGTCATATCTGTAGGACACAATTGTATTTAGTCGATAATTCTTTTTCATAGGTTTTCTGCTTTACCTATACGGAAAGAAAACTGATATACATTTTGTTTTTTAAAAGTAGGAAATCTGTAGCACTCAACTTGATGAATATATTTCTTTTCGGGGAGGGGTACTGAGGATTGAACCTAGGGTTTTGCACATGCATACTCAGCCCTCAGCCCTAAGAAGATTTTTATGTAAGTATTTATGAAAAGTCTATAATCTTCTCTGGAAAGGGAAGTAGGTTTCAGTTCCATCTTTCTTGATGGCCCACTGTGCTCCCAATACTAGTGGCTGGCAAAGAAGAGGTACCTGCACATTCCACCCAGCCTACTTATTTAGGTTTGTCAGAGAAATGCTGAAGAGTGTCTGTGGATTTGTTCTTTAGCCAAGCAACTAATTTTTTCTTGTTTTATTAAGGTTTTCTGTGCGTAGTGTTCTTTGTGCTTTTGATTTCTCTACTACTGGTAGTTGCTTTCAGTTTCTGGCAAACAAGAAAGTGCTATACTATAAAGTTATAATCCCAAATCTAGGGTACATTTTGTTTTTCAGGAAACATAACTCATATAAACCTGATTCCTCAGCTTCAGTCCACCTGACCTTATTTAAACTTTTACGTACCATCATAGAGGTCTGTCAAGTTTTCATTATTTATATTTGACTGATTCGCTCTACAGTTCTCTTTCTATAAAAATGGAAAGATAGAAAGGCTGACTTGTTACCTGGTCAAGTTATTGGAACAATATTATGACAACCTTTTGCTTCCTTTATAAATTTCTTTCTCCTCACTTTTTTTTCCTCTTTAGAATTACTTATTTACATTGAAGAGCTGGTTTTTAAAATGGTCATCAGACAGGCAAAGAGTAACTGGTATGGTTTTGGATTTTCCTTTAATCTCAAGGACTTGTAGTATATTATTAAATATTTTGCCTTTCCTCACTAAAGTCACACAATTTGTTCCTTTAGTATAAGATATATATCTAGAAAATGTTAGGTAGAATTGATTTTTGGATATATTCATATTCTTAAAGTTACTAATATTCCATGTGTTTATTAAAGATTTATATGCATACTATTCTTTGTGCCAGTGATATGAATCATCAGCATTCTTCTACAAGTTAATTTTGAGAATTGGTATATAAGGGAACCGTGAAACTCTAGAAGAAACTGTTGCCCATAGAAATGGTCTTTAAAAGTGTCACTATAAATTAATCAAATCATAGGGTATATATTTCATATGTTTTGTATAATTGTGGTACTTTGCAGGAGAAATACAGCAACAGTTATAAGGCCCAATCTGAGAGAAATCAAGTCCAACTGGAGGAGAAAGAACACCAGTTGGAAGAAAATCAAGACAACTTAGAGAGATCTCATGTCCAACTCAAGAAAATTCATGGTCAATCAGACAGATCTCATGGCAACACAAAAAGATCTCATGGTCTCTCAGAGCAATCTCATGACCACTCAAAGAGATCTCATGGCTGCTCAGAGAGAGCTCATGGCCACTCAGAGAGATCTCGTGGCCACTCAGAGAGATCTCGTGGCCGCTCAGAGAGATCTCGTAGCCGCTCAGAGAGATCTTGTGGCCGCTCAGAGAGATTTCATGGCCACTCACAGAGATATCATCGTTATAAAGGGAGATATGGTCACTCAGAGAGATATGGTCAATCTGGGAGATTTTATGACCAATCAGAGAGATATGGAAGATACTCTTCAGGAGGAAGATTCAAAACATCATTTGAAACTGACTTTAAATCTGACAGGTAAAAATACAATGAATACATACTCATTATTACAATGTATTGAGTAACATGGAAATGTAAAGGCATGCTTTAAATTTCTATAGTTTAATGGCTAGATATCTATCTGGTGCAACTGACATGTACTGTGACACAAGTGTTAAGAGAGAAGAGGTAATATGTACATGCTTATCATTGTTCTTTCTTGTTCATGTCTTCTAGCTGTCATCCTGTTTCCCGTGGTGTCCCATTATTTTATCTAAACAGAGTCCCATGTACTTGTTAGCTGTCCCTGTTCAGGCTCCAGTTATCAGGTCCTGACCTATATCCCTGGTCTCCCAAACAAGTGTATGACGAAAGTTTAAATAAAATGAGACAAATCATATGATTTTAGGGTTACAGGAGGGTCAAAACCCTTTAGTTGAGATTGAGACTCCAAGGGCTAAAACAAAGACTTCTCTGGACTAGCCCACTTTTAATAGGATCAACAACAAAAGACAGGGAAACTGAGGAAAGTGCAGGAAATGAGCAGGACCTTGGGAGTCACTTTAAAGACTTCTCCAAGCAATAAATTATGTCAATTTAGGAGAGCCATCTTATCTCCATGATGATATTTATGGTAGGATTGCGACTGCAGAAGTGAAATTCCTTCAGCTGCAGTCTCTATTTACTTAATTAGTATTGGAGCCAAGGTATCCTCAGCTGTGGCCTTATCCTGCCCTTTGAGGTATGTCTGGCCTCACAGGCCACTAGAGGCCTCAGCCAGGACCAGTGATTCATAGAGGTTCACTTACTATGCATCAGCTCCCGTTGCCAGGCAAGGGGCCTAGGCCTAGGACAGACTCACAGATAAACATAGAAAGCCAATTAGTTAATTTTAAATCCTGCTCAGAGCCACTGGGTAGTGGTCTCCAACAGTTAAACTTTCCTAAGGCTACTCAACAATCAAAACATACTGACTCAGTATCCTATTCCCTTTGGACTTTTCAACCTGGTAGGAAACTAATATAACAACAAATTATGCTAAATTGATAAGATAATAATTTATAGTAATAAATCTCTGTTTCCCTTCTCTATCTTCTTCCTAAAGAGTCCTTAGGGAGTCTTCGGCAGACAAGTGCTAGATATGTCTTTGGACAGCTGAACTTCTCTGTTTTCCTCAAATCAAACCATAGGACAAGATGCTTATTCTATCCATGGATGTAATATTAGCTGCCTGAATATATTTTGAATATATTATATATGTATTCACTGTTACCTTCTAAACCTAGTAGGATAGATCTGTCGATCCTAGCAAAAAAGAAAAACAGAGAAATTTAAATAGTACTATGGGTTTTTTAAAATCACAAGACATTTTTTGGAAAAGATGAAGATGGTATGGCTCTAGGCAACATTTTTTATTTCAATTTGTTGAATTGCAAATAAAAATATAGTTTCAGTTTCTCAGTATTTGCCCTCTGTTTACATCCCAATAGTCTGGTCAAGTACTTGACTTTGTACTAACCACTATGCATTGCCAATTACAGTTAAAATATTTCTAAAATGCGTGTTTCAGTTATTATATATACATGCGTTATCTGTTGCAGACATCACTTCCATATAAAGACTCCATACCACTTATATCAGCAGTATATGCATAATGTCTTATGCAAAATTAAAATATATTTAACAATGGTAGCAAGCAATTAGTATGTCTGCATTTATTATGATTTCTCATGATATACTTCATTTTATATATTAATTTTTGTCAGTGCCTTTCAATAAGGCACTGAAAATTTCATTAGAATTATTGTCCAGTGATATATTTCTATGCCTTAGCAAATATATTTTTATAAGCAAATCCCTAAGTTTGATCCCTACCACTCCAAAAAAAACGCAAATTAAAATATAATGAAGAAATCTTTTTAGTTTTTCCTTTATCTTTACTATTACATTTTATGTCCATAGCACAAATAATGAATAACTTGAATGTGTCATCACATGTAGCTTGGGTAACGACCCTATATTCAAACCCCAGGATTGGGGATAAGAAAAGATACTTGATGATATTGTTATCTCATTTACCCTTTCTTGATATTATATTGACAGTCTGATGTCTTCTTTGGCTGGATTCATAAATACAGAGGAATAGCAGAACAAAACCCATTTTTTGTACTCCCACTAAATAACTTACATAAAATGAGAGTCAAAATCTGTGGATTTTAAATTAGCTGGCCTATTCACCTGATGAAAGTATAGATAAGAGCTTCAGAGAAAGTGAGATATTTAGTTTGGGAGTGCTTACTATTACCATTCCAATTACAGGCAAAATGGACATAACTCAGTGGGCTGAGCGAGTGCTTAGCGTATATAAAGCCCTAGGTTCAACTGCTAATGTCAAAGCAAAACAGTCAAAAGCAGAAACAAAAAAACAAGCCTCCAATTAAAGATTGATGATTAATGTTTCATTGCCACTCGTTATTTGGATATTAATATTACTATATTCTAAGTAATTTCTGAAATTGTTTCAGTCCTGATTATAGTAATTAAATCAGACCTTTGGGTTGCAGATCCCTAACATATTTCACTTTAAAGGATGAAGTTTTTCTATTTGATTTCCTTCTTTTTATTCTCACATTCTTCATTTTTCCTAATTCCATTTATTGCCCAATTACGTTTTTTTGAAGATGCCAGTGAGAATTTGATCTATACTTTTCAAGGATAAGGGAGTATGAGTAACTTGAGTGAGTGGGAGCAACATAAGAACACAATAACATGGTTCCATGTCCCAAATCTATCACAAAATGTGACGTTGAACAAATTAATCTTCTGGGTCTCACTTTCTTAATAGAAGAAAACATTTCAACTGCATGACTTTAAAGAAACATACCAACTAAAAAATCTTAGTTCATTAAAAATGGATTGTTTGGGTTTTTCTTTTAATTGTGGTTTAAAACAGATAACATAGTATTTACCATCTTAACCAAATATTTTTGGTACTGGGATTTAAAACCAGTTATGCATGCGTAGTACACACACTGTCATTAAGCTATGCCTCCAGGTCCCGTCTTAACCATTTTTAAGGGTATAGTTTATTGGTGTTAATTACATTTATATCCTAGACCTTTAGAACTTTTTCATTTTAGAAATCCCTAAACGTAAAGCCCTTCCTTTTCACTTTCCCTCAATCCCTGGTAACCATCACTCTATTTTTTTCTATGAATTAGACTACTTAGATGCCTCATATAAGGTATCATATAGGTTTTGCCTCTTGTGACTTCGTTATTTTACTTAGCATAATATCCTCGAGGTTCATCCATGTTATAACATGTGTCACAATGCTAAATGATATTCCATTTTATGTATGGGCCACATTTTGTTCACTCATTCATGTGGCAATATGTATTTGGGTTGTTTCCACAATTTGACTGCTATGAATAGTGCTTCTGTAAACATACACGTGCACATCTCTTTGAGATCCTGTTTGCAGTTCTTTTTGAAATACACCCAGAAGTGGGAATGCTGGTTCCTGTGGTAACTCTATTTTGAATATTTTGAAAAACCTCCATATCGTTTTTTCACCGTTCTACAGTCTTGACAGTGAGCAGTGTTTCCAATTTTTCCACATGGTTTTCAACACTTGTTAGTTTCTATTTCTCTGATAAGCCAACCTCATGGTTATAAAGTGATATCTCAGTGTGGTTCTGCTTTGCTTTTCTCTGATTACTAATAATGAGGGATATCCTTTCATATACTTGTTGACTATTTTTGCATTGTCTTTTAAAAATTATCCATTTAAGTCTTTTGCCTACTTTAATTGGGTTGACTCTTAGTTGTTGGAGTTCTTATATATTCCGGATCCCTTATATATATGACTTGCAAATATTTTCACTCATTATATAGATTGTCATTTCACTCTGTTGGTTATGCCCTTTGGCACACAAAAGTTTTTAAATGGTAATGGAGGTCTGGGGATGCAACTCTGGTAAAGTGCTTGCTTAACTGTGCACAAAGACTTGGGTTCAGTCCTCAGTAGTACCGATAAATGAATTAAATTGTGATATAGTCACATTTATATAATTTTAGTTTTTTTGTTTGTGCTCTTTGTGCCCACAAAATCATTGTCTATTTTGATTTCAAGAAGCTTTTCCCTTTCGTTTTCTTCTAGAAGGGTTGTTTTCTTTTGTTTTGTGGTACTGGTGATCAAACCCAGTGCCTCGTGCATGCCAGGCAAACAAACTATCACTGAGCTAATCCCCACCTCTCTTCTAGGAGCTTTAAAGTTTTTGATCATATATGTAAGTTTTTAATTCATCTTGTGTTAACTTTTGTACACAGCATATGACAATAAGCCATTCCTTTGCTTGTGATCCAGCTTTTCCAACACTATTTGCTGAAGATACAGTCCTTTCTTAGTTGCGTGGACTTAGCACTCTTGTTGAATATCACTTGATTACATACATCCGGACTTATTTCTAAGCTCTCTATTCTAATTCAGTGATCTTTTTCTGTCTTTATGCAAGTATAATACTAATTTGATAACTGTAGCTTTATAAAATTTTGATGTCAGACAGCATAAGCCCTCTAAGTTGGTTTTTCTTTTTAAAATCTGTTTGCTATCTCGAGTCCTTTGAAATTCCATGTGAAATTTAAGGTGATGTTTTATTTCTGCAAAAAAAGGCCATTAGGATTTCAATATGGATTGTATTGAATTTATAAATCACTTAGGGTCGCATGGACATCTTTACAGAATACTGGATCCCTGTCCATTTATTTGCGTCCTTAAAATTTTCTTCAGTGATGTTTTCAGTGTACAAGTCTTTTACCTTACCTCCTTGGTTAGGTCTATACCTAAGTATTTTGTTCTTTTTGATGCTAATATGAATGGAATTCTTTTCTTAATTTCTTCTTTGAATTGCTCATTGGTAGTATATAAAATTGCAACTGATTTTTGTATGTTGTTTCTACCCTGAAGTGCAGCTAATTTTATTTATAATTTAAATTATTTTGGGGGGACTGGGGATTTAGCTCCTGCCTAGCAAGCATGAG